ATGATTTCAGTCATAGTAAGTTCGTAATAATTTCTCAATCACATAAGACTTGCAACCATATCAGTTTCCAACTCACTGATCTTGTAATAACAAGTCAATATGATTGGAATAAAGAAAACATGCGAAACTCAGAATTGTCCCTACAATTCCATCTAAAGAATCATAATGATCAATATCAGGTTTCTGACCTCAGACCAACATGCAAATATTAGCATTGAATATCTCAATATTTGATGAAGCGATGAAAAAAAGTCGTAAAAGAACTTCTTCACACCAAATCATCGAAAATCTCTTTTCTCTGTTTCTATCGTAAAGAACCAAATAACTGATAAGGAAAAACTTCCACGAGTCTTTAAAAATTGAAAAAATCGAGAAAATAATTGTTTAATTCGTGAAAGTTAACCAATTGAGTGAAACTTTTTGCCAACAAAGCACATTTATTCAACTCATTCCGTAGTCATTATGATAATGAAAATAATTGATAATTATCTCGATAACGAGCGATTAAGCTCGTGGAGAATATAACTGTTCATGGAGGCACAAAATGAGAAACTTTTTTTCTACTTTTGTAAGAAAATCTTTTCGATTCAATTAAAGTTTTATTCCTTTAATCAAACAGAGAAAAAAATCTTTTCAAATGAACTTCAATTAGCAGACAAAAGTAAACCTCTGCATGAAAAAAGTTTAACAGATAAGGGTTTGTCTAATCACCTCAACAATTGCAATTTTTTCATTTGTATCAAAGAATGAAATGAAAAGAAGAAAAAAAAGTTCATTTTCCTTTTCAAGTTTTCTTCTTCTTCCAAGCCAATTGAAGCACAATGGAAAGCGATGAAAATTGAGGTTCAAGATTGAATAATATGAACAATAATTATATTCAAGTTGCTCAATTTAACACTTTGGTTCCACCTTTATTCAAATAATTGTCGATAATAATATCACATTTAAATGTATCAACTGGAAAACAATTGTAATAAGAATATGAATAAGAGCGGAATAAAGGGTTGTCATTAAAATGATAGAAAATACGTTAACTTTTGTTCATCTTTTGTCATGAAAAGAACTTTCATTTTAATTTCACTTTCTAAATTTGTTCATTTATCTGAACAATTTTACAGATTCATTTTTCACGGGATAGAGAGAAAAGTAATTTCTTTTTATTTTTCCATGGTTCCATTGAACAGAAATAGATTATAAACATTTTCACAGAATTTCGAGTTTCAATTGAGCGTTCAGCTAAAGACAGTGATCATTGCATTGATATTGCAAGTTATCTTTGAATCTTGTATTTGCACATTTCATGATAAATTGAAACATTTTGAAAGTTTACAGAAAAGAAATGTTTTCTTTGAATAATTCTGAGCAAATGAAATAATGAGAAATCCAAGTGGGTGGTTGATGGTGTAAGGGTTGGATTGAGCTGATTCGGCTACAATGTTTAACTTTTACTCAAAGGGTCTAATTGCTGTTATGACAAGTTGATTAATTTCAAGTGAAAAGACTGACAATTTAAATGTGAAATTCAAGTTGCAGTGGAAGGGATGAAGGTTGGTTCAGGCTAAACTTTTGTTGACATTAATCATGAAACTCTTTGACTTTGTGTTTTGAGAAAAGTATAATTTTCCAGCTTCAGGGTCATTCAAGGTAATTTGATGAATTGCATTATTCCATGTTGATGGTTTGAGAAAGTTATCAATTCAATGGCAACTCTTTTGGAAATAACTTTACCTGTGAAAATGAAATGTTAGTTACAAGGAATAAGGATAAGCAAATATTGATAGATCACTTGGATACTCAACAAGTTGACGATAATCAATCATTCAGGTGTTGCAATGGTGATATTACAAATTGAAAGTGAGGAATTCATTTATTGATATAGTTTTTGCTCTAAAGAATGCATTATTGATGAAGAGAAAGGAACGAAAAGTTTCGCAAACAAAATTGATGTTTCATGAGTAATTATGACTTTCAAGTAGCTCTGCAACAGTGGACTTATACTAGCAATTTAAAATATTGCTGAAGATCCATCAAGATGGTCAGATTCCGGAAAGATGTTACAAAAGTAAATGTTCAAAGGGACTTAAGAAAATGACTTTTACTCAATTCGAAGATCGACTTTACGAATGAATTGTGTCTATGTGACAATGGAACAGAATCATAGAGAATAGGGAGTTCTGATAATCGAAAATTCTAAGTTTTAAGATTTTCGATTTCGATTGACAACATTCTCCACTTTTTCTCTACAATTCACATTGTTTTTGCATCTTTGAATGTTATCTCATTTCGAGAAATCATTTGAAAGGAAAGTCAGAAATGACAGATGATGCATTGACCATTTTGTGATTAATCAATCAAGAAAAAGTAAGTAAACCGATGATTCGAGATACTCTATTTTATCATGAAAAGTGTTGGAAAGTTAACTGAAAATTCTATCGTTAAGGAATAATCTCAAGGCTCAGGACTTGACGAGTGCTTCCTTGTGCAGAACTCTTAATGTTTGATATTTCAAGAGATTAACTATTACAAGCCATTTACGAGCTTGGTGAATATTTCATCAAAAATGATCTTGAAACCGCTACAAAGTCAAAGGTAATGAAATTTTGGAATGATCATGAAACCACAAAATAGACGGTTTAATGGTTGTTGTTCATATAAGTTGAGAAGATTGAGCAACGATAATTCAATAGATTTAGTATAATCTGATTTTATCAAAAGTCAATCTTGATGACATCTTGTTTGAGTGAAAAAAGCTGTCAACCTTCAATTAAAGTCATGGCAAGTTAAAACAATGAATTGATTGTTCCATGTTGACGAAAATAAATTGAATAATAAAAGGCAAATTTTCCCTGCAATATAATTCTCATTGTTGCGATCAACATATGAAAAGAAAGTTAAACATAAAAATTGAGTTGCAATATTTAGGGTGCATCTTTGATCCCAATACTAATATAACAATGTTTAATAATAATGAGCTTGAAAGAGGTTGGGGGAAAAGAGAGAAAAAATGGGATTTTTTTGCTTTTTTATCATTATAACTTATTTCGATATCAACATCTTTGCAATTTGCTTCTTTATATCGTCATTATTGCTAATATCAGGAGCATTATTATAGATGATGGAGAGGAATGAAATGAAAAGAAAAAAAGTAAAATCTAAAATCTAATAATAAGCAAGTTGAAGGGTTATACAGCGGTTCATCAACCAAAATGTAAATTGAAATTATTAAATAAACCCAGGGAATTGGTAAGAATAGGAATGATAATGGATGACTGAGCATAAAGTAATAAACAGATAAGATGCAAATAAAGAAATATAAAGAATCACAGAAATGAAGATAAAAAATCCTTCTTTTTTGCAAAAAAATAGGTTTATACTTTTGTTGAACCATCAACAATAACTCAGGGCTTGACGCTGGCAAATTTTGATGAAGAAGGGAAAGAAGCAATTCGGCACGAAAAAGAGCAAATTTTTTGGGTTACTTGTTAGGTGAACTTTCATGATGAAAATATTAGTCATGATGATCTAGTTCATAATGTATACAAATTTTTAGTCGTTAATAAGTTCTTATCAAGTTGCTTACGTTAGACCCAGTTGAAACAATATTGAATACTCAAATCATGTTTAAATAGTAGTTTTTTTTGTCAAATTTCCTTTTTGTCTGGAACCAGTTACTAAAACCATTTGAAACAAGAGATGGAAACGCATAGCTAAATTAAAAATTACATTTGCTGGCTGGCTAATTCCCCTGATTGTATGCGCCAATGGGCTGTGCGATTAAACTGAAAGTTAATTCAACGGGGTAAAGTAACTTCGAAATCAAGCAGAAAATTTATAGACATAGTGACTTAGTGCTTGTAAAAAGTACGCTGTCATATAAGCAAATTTAAAGACTCATTTACAGTCAAGAAAATCAAGTAAGAAATAGTTTCTGGTGTCTTTGAAATATTAAAACACAGTTAAATACGATCAAACTGGCCGAGGGTATCTACAAGCTTATATTCTGTTTTCTCTAATATCCATTACTTTGAGTTGACTTTCATATTTCATGAGTAACTGTAATTTTGAATTATAGCAGCTTTCAATGAAACCAAAACTGAACCATAAATTAATTTTCTATGCTGTAAAATTTGACTGATTGTTTTGAATTAATTATGATATCAATGATTGAAAAAAAAAGAAATTAAAATTTCCACCAAACTCTATTGCACTCATTGATCACTGAATATTAGCTCGACCACTTTGATGTCCATTAAATTGTCCACCTTATCCTTGTTTACCAAGTTAAATTACCATTTCATGCTAATTATAAACACTTTTCCCTTGTCACCTTGACTCTCCTCTTGTCATTCCCTTCCAGAGACGCAACACTCATCATGTCTTTTCCCAACCATGAATCACTGAGCAATTGCTGTTTTCATCGAATAAAGCAAATTAAAAAAAGAAGAAAAGTTCAATTCAATTTTTCTTTACCTTGTCAATTGTAATCATCACAAGGTTAACACCATGTCAGTTGAAATACAAAATAAATAATAACAGCAATAAAAAGCAAAAAGTTAAGAAAAAGAAGTGAAAAATTTTATGCTCGATAAAATTGATAATAATTATGATCATTTTTATTTATGCATTTGCTTGATTCATTCATCATTGTAATCATGATAATAACGATATTGACTGAATCTTGGAAAAACACAAAACAACAAAGAAAAAGAGGAAGAAAATTTACTGCGAAAAAATCAGTTAACTCTATGATTATTGGTCATGGAAAATGATTCATTAATTTTACCTTTTCTCTTGATTCTCTGTTATTTAAATGGATAACTTTAAACAGTGTCCAATATGTTTGATGATCATGAATCAAGAGATGATAATAATGATGATGCTGGTGATGGTGGTTATGATGACAGAATGAAAACTCAGTCAGGGTTACATTCAGCATCAATGTATAAACCATGCTCAGAGAAAGACGGTAATAAGAAGAGGAGAAGAGAAGGAAAGCAAAAATTTTCTTCTCTCTTCAATCTTGTTCAATTCGCGTCTCCAGCCATTATCATCCTTATCCCAACCCCTGAAAAAACTCCCCATGTAAACTCCTCCTTTCATTGAGTTTTCCTTTTCAAGGAACCGTTCAAGATGAGAAAGAAAGTTGAAGACGAAAAGAGTAGAGAGAAAAGTGTTTTGTTGCCAATATTTTTTTCTCTTCATCTTCATTCTCATCTTTTTGAAACATAAGAGAGTAACTTTAGTCGAGTTCAGTCCAATGAAGAGTGTGATTCTCCTTTGCGTGTGTTTATCAATTCCTTTTCCATGTTAACCTTGTTAATATGTTTATACAGCAATTACCTTTAGCCAGAAGCAGCTCATCATCAACATCATCAAAATCATTGTAATCATCATTAAATTACCATTGTTACAAGTAACATCATTTCAATCTGATTTGGTTTCCAATAAAAAAAGCGAAAGAAAATAGAAGAGAAAAAAGTAAAGAAAATTGGCGAAACCAAGTAAACAATTGAAATTATTCATTTTACTCAACTTGAAATTCAATTTTAACCCTTTTCTCCAAACGTGAATTGAATAATTTGAAAATGTTGACAAAAAAAGTGACAAAATTACATTCACTTTGCAAGTGAAAATACGAAGGAAAAAAAGTTTCTCTTTTCACGATTTCGATTGATGATTTGATTCCCGATTTTCATCTATAAATGTGATATTTCAACTCAACTAATCAACACCAAAAGACTGTGTGCTATTGTGCCTAAAGCATCAATTCAATCAGTTGTTATCAATAGTTGGGAAAGAAGAGAAGAAGAAGAAGAAGAAAAAAAAGGAAAAAAGTTGAACAAAAATTGTATTAACTTGTTCAAAAGGGAAGCAACAAAAAATTGTTATTGTAAACTTTATCATGAGTAAAGTGTTTCATTGTGTGTTTACACTTTTCACGATGAATAAGTGAATTTGTTTTGAATTGGTTTCCATTTGATATTATCATTTCAATCCATTTAAACTTGAATGTGAATCTTGATCTTTCGGCTTCAACATTCTTCTTTATTCTGGGGTTACATTATCGTCAACTTGAACCAAAGTGAACACAAGTGTAAAGACGGAGAAGAAGGGAAAAAAATGTTGAAAAAAACGAATCACTGTTGACATCTTTTACTTTCAACCCTTCACCATGACAACATGATGATTATTTTTGCTTCATCGTCATCACCATCTTTAACATTGTCACCAACATTATGATCATCATTTGTTGGATGTAATGATATTCCATGTGAACAAAATTGTGTTACCTTTTCCAACCATGAATTAGTCTGTGCAAAAAGCATAATAACGAAGAAGAAGAAGAAGAAAAAGAAAAGTAGATAATTTCATTTTTCATCTTCTGGTGAGATTACCTTGATGCTTACCAGTTGTGGTTTACTCTTGTTTGTGATTAAGGTTAATGTTTAAATCAATTATTAATGTGTGATTAAGTTAACCAAATTGATGACAATCAATTGTTGTCGCTCATCTTGATGCTTTATTTGCATCATTATTTAATGTAAAGCAGGCAAAAGTGAAACTGCACCAAATTATGAATTCATTAGTCAATTCATACACTGACCTTTTACCACAACCAACAACATTATCATCATTTGCATCAACTGATGCCTATCATCCAGTCACTCATTTTACCTCTTTTCTTGCCTCCCAGTTGGTCTCTTCATTATCGGCCAACCTTTCAACCCAGGGTTACCTTGATGAACCCTTGAACCTAACTTATTTAACCAGTGAAAGTGACTTGACTTCACCTTCAGGTTCACCCGAGTTGCCCTCAACCAGTAGCATCACATTAGCCAACCCCAGTTACATTGAGTTTCGTGATCGATCACGCTTCTGGATTCAACGTATTCTTGTTCCGCTAGTTATGATTATTGGTGTTATCGGCAATTCAATGACCATTGTCATCATGACTCGACGACGGATGAGAAGCTCAACCAATTTTTATCTTGCTGCCTTAGCATCAATCGACATGATGTACCTTATATTCATTTTTATCCTTTCCCTGAAACACTATCCGGACGCTGACCATTCAACCTTTTACTATTACTGGGTCTTTTATCCGTTCAGTTTAATGATTGTCGATGGTTGTTCCAACATATCAGTCTGGCTTACAGTTACTTTTACCTTTGAAAGGTTCATTGTGGTTACACATCCAATTCGAGGTAAGGTCATTTGTACAGAGGCAAGAGCCAAAAAGGTGATCCTTGCCGTTTTCATCATTTGCTTTACTTATGTTTTACCGACACCATTCGAGTGGATTATCGTTGAAAAGTTGAGTCCCTTGGATAATTCGACTCGAATTGATGTTCGCTATTCCGATTTTGGTCGCAATAAAACGTACAGAACAATCTATTATTGGACAACCTCCGTGCTGTTCACCTTTCTTCCATTAACACTGTTGGCCTTTTTCAATGCTTTCCTCATTCGATCAGTTCAACTCTCCCGTCGAGCTCGTTCTGAAATGACCCAGTCAAAGATAACAACTGCCTACTCAACAGTCTCCAAAAGCGATCCCGATCCAAGTCCACGGTTGGGTCGCAATGGTGTAGTCGCTAGTGGAACTAGCAGTGGGTCAAACAAGGTTGACCATTCGACTGCTCAAGAGACTAAGATAACCATCATGTTGATATCGGTTGTGGTGCTTTTCCTGTGTTGCCAGTCACCAACAGCAATCATGTTAATCTATTCATCTCTCCGTGATGACGGTCGCAACACCAATGAATACTATTTGCACATAGCGTGGAACAATATTTTCAATTTCCTGGTGGCTGTTAATGCAGCCGGAAACTTTGTCCTCTATTCACTGCTCAGTCAAAAATATCGTCGAACCTTTGTACAGCTTTTTTGTCCCTGCATCAAGGGTCGCCTTTCCCGTCTCCAATCATACCAGCAAACCCTTTACCCTTCCAATGCAACCACCATTGGTTATTCAACTTCATCCGATAAACGGTTCAATGAACTTTTATCCGTCTCAAGTGATTCCAAGTCTCGCGGCGGGTCAACCTCACCCCGAGTCTCAAGAGTCGGTCTGCCTGGGAATGGGTTTGACTTTGGCGGTCGACCAAACAGTAATTACAATCTTAATCAAACCCCAACAACACCGACAACCAACATGAACTTATTCAACAGTAAAACTTGCAACAACAACAACAACCAGACGGACCACAATTCAGGTGGAAACAGTGACCAACAAAATGACTCGACAAATGTAGTTGAAATTAATTGCAGTACAAATGAAGACAAAGGATTGCCCGATTGAGGAACGCAAAAGTGCGCTCAAAGAAGCGACCAAAAAAACGTTCATTTAACCATCAATTGTACAAGAAGTCTAGTTTGTTGTAACAATCCAAGCAATTTATTGTAACAATTGAGACTAAAGTGTCTTAACCGATTCGGTATTTAATATTTTTATTTCAACTTTTCAATGAAAGCAAATGACTCGAGTTTCAACTTTTGCATTTCCAGGACAAAAAGCAAAAGAACAGTTGATATTGAGAGGAAAAGGTCAACTCAATGTGGGCACAACTAATGAACAGACAACACTGTAATTATACGTTAATATGTTTAATAATTTTGTTCAATTGTGGTCAACCTTGCTTGATGGACAACAACAAAAATCCAAACTTAATCATTTGAATCTCATTTTGCCTTGAAAAGCAATTCAACTGTAATAACATTTACAAAAGTCAATAATGATGATTATAAAAGTTATAAATAATGATATCAATATTAACCACAAATAAAGAAAATCTTTTTTTTTGTTAACGAAAAAAGAAATTCAATTTTTGCTTTTAAAAAGAGTAATTTTTTGAGGAAAAAATGATTAAAATTGAAGCGACACTTTTATAAATCTTTTCACTTTCCATCAAATTATTTTCACTGATTTACGGTGAAACATGAGAAAAGATGATTCGAAAAAATGCAATATTCTGTTGGAATTTTTGGCTGTTTTTCTACTCAACTTGAAAGGTACAAAGTGAGGGTCAACTGTTGACCTTTGGACAATATTTATGATTACTTTATGATTGGATTGTTCTCACCGAATCAAGATAATCTGATCAAAGTGTTTGTTTCTCTCGTAAATAACATTATCATGAAATGAAAAGTCAAATTATTGGCCAATTTTTTTTCTCCTCTTTTCAGTTTTCTTTTCATGAAACATTGAGATATTTTTCACTCTTTCAAATTCAATTGTTTTCTCTTTGTTTTCCCTTTTTATTCATCATCATAAATCAGAATTATCAGGATAACTGGAAAAGAGAAAAACGAAAGATGAAAATTGATTCTTTTCATTTTCTTCTTCTTTTCTTCTCCTTTCTTTTCTCGCCATTCATTTCCCATTCTTGGGTCAATATTATTTGTTAAAAAGATTATCATTATTGGCATTAATAATAATCTTGAGCTAATAATAGGGCAACATTTGAGTTAATAAAACATTTAGAAATGAAATTAATAACAATAACTGTTATATAATGATGATAACGATAAATGGTAATAAATATTGAGTGAAGAATGGTGAACAAATGAAATTGTTTTCCTATTATAATGTTGTTATTAAGGGAAAAGTGAATAAACTTGAGAAGATGAGTTTTTTGAAACTTCAATTGAACTTTCATTTCAAAATAATATGATTCAATTGACGGAATAAGCAACAAGTTAAACAACTATGAAAAATGAGATTCTCTTACTTGACCGATCGGCAAAGAAGAAAATGATTGTATTAAATTATTATTGCTATCATTATATTGGAGACGCAACTTTGATGATGGAATTTGCAAGATTTATTTTGACAACAGAATCCAATTTAGTCAATGAATTTATTAAAATAGTTGGTTCAACAAATGGCGAGATAACTCAAGGATGGAAATTTGTCATTTCAAGATTCTTCTGAAAATGAAAACTTTTTTTACTTTTTGTTGGATTCGTTGGAAATTTTAATAAACAAGTTTTTTATTGACATTTTTTGTAAATACATTCATTAATCTCATTTCAAGGAATTATCTGAAAGCGTTTTTGTCAAGAATTTTCATAAATCATTTCGATTCAAATGAAAGAAACATAAGACGTCATTCACTAATTTCAATTAATCAAGAATAAAGAACTAATTGTTGAATCGTTTTGTGATATTACATCATGAATCATGTACAGAATTAAATTTTTCCAAACAAACATTGAACATTTCATGTAATCTCGGTCAAAAAATCATTTCCTTTCAAGTTTAGTCCAAAATTTTTATCAACTTTTTTTTCTTTCAAGAACAATCTCAAGTATAATCTCCAGTTTATTTGAACTGAAAAAAGAAAGGTTGACATTCGAGTTTAGATTTAGTACTTTTTTAATTGATTAAGACTTGAGCTGAAGTTTATGTGATTAGTGAATTGCAGAATTGGCAACTTCAAAGTTTCAAATTTAAGGAATTCGGTCTCAATTCTTTATTTTGCACAGAAATTTGTAGTTTCAAAAAGCTACGATTTCGCCACATTCAATTTTTCATCGATTTCGAGCAATTTAAGAACTTGATCTGTTTAGTTCATTAAAAGTTGCATTAAGTTATCGTTTAAATTGAGTAATTTTGCTTCTGGAAAAGCATTGATCAATGAAACATTTACTTTGCAAAAAAGTCTAGAGTCGAGAAAAAAGTTTGACTAAAAATGTTATTCTTGTTAACTTTACCATCAACTGTTCAACCTAAAGCACTCTTCATCCTCCTTTGAGCCTTACTGTTGACTCCTGGTGAACGGAAGAACCTCGAACGACAGAGTAAACAAGAAAGCAAAAGACAAACTATTTTGAGACTTCCTGAATAGAGAATCCATCCTGAGCAGGGAGGAAAGTAGACAGGCACCAGAAGAGAAAAAAAGATGAACATGGAAAAGATACTTTATCAGAGAATTGAGTAATGAAATTTCAAAAGTAAATGTTGACAAACCATAATGGCCAATACGGTCAATAATTGAGTTGTAAAACCTTTTCCTTCTTCAAATGTAAACAGTAATGATGATTAAAAGAATATCAAAATTTCCATTCCAATGAATTTCGAGGTAAACTTTGCTCCAATTTCTGAGCTCATTTAAACTGCAATTTTCGATTCAATTGTTTCTCCATTTTTAACCCGTTTACAACCCAAAAGTAAACTAATTTTTCTGAAACTCTTTCTTCTTGTTTAGCAAAAAAAAGTTATTCAATAATCAATCATTGAATATAATCCTTGGAAAGATTAATGAATCTGAATTTTCTCTTTGTTTCATTCGATATCATTTACCAATGAAAATGATGATACTGATGATGATGATGATGTTATCATTAGACCTGAACAACTTATACCTTGTGAATTGATGCAAGAAATGAATGAACATAATGATCAATAACGGTTGTGTTTTATTGACCATTATTGTAATTATCAGCATGAAGTTTGGTGCAATCGAAAAATTATGAGAACAAGAGACGAAAAGAGCAAAATTTCACATTTTTCGTTGCTCGACATCATTAATATCATTATCTTGATTTGGTTCAAATTACACCATTTTTTATTCTCATTTCCTTACCACTTTCATCCCATGGTTTTTAAGGTGAAAATTAACAGAATCAAGAGAAAAGAAGAAAAGTTTTTTTGAATGAAACCCAAAAAGTCGAAGGTAAAAGTTTCATCTCGCAATCAGTTGAATAAGGTTTAATTTCGTCCTTCTTCTTCTTCTCTCGATGATGATATTCATCTTATTTCATCGTATTTCATCTTCTCCCATGTAAACCTTTTACCGTCAAAAATTTTAATCTTCCCTTCAGTTATGCTTGTTCCTTCAGCTACTGATGAATGTCACTTGAGCGACTTTCAGCTTATTTTGCATTTTTACTTTTTTTCACTTTTCTCTTCTTCTTTTTTTTGCTTTCAAGGTTTACTTTTTGCATTTTGGTTTGTTGCCCATATTTTTGCAGCTCACTCACCATCTTCATGATCATCATTTTTCTTCGCCTTCAAGTCTCGTATGATTTGCATGATTAAAGGCGCAAACTTGAAAGGATAAGGATGGAAGAAGAAGAGAGTGAAATGAGAAAAAAACTGATCAACAGCAGAGGTGAACAAAAAAGGTTTACCAAGGATGAAGATGAAGGTGAACGAAAATATTGAACAATCGAGGAAAAGGAATTGATGAGGAAAGTTGATGAAGAGTAAACGATTACGGTTAACATTGAATTGATTTAGTTTGTCCATTATTCAATCAATTACCTAATCAAGTTTCGATTAACTTTTCGAGTTTTTTTCTTCTTCTTCTTCCTTTTCTTTATCCTGTCGCCTGTCCTTCTTGTGCTTCCAAGAGATTTTCATCTTTTCCAAAGTGACTCAGATTTTTGACATTTTTATCTTGCACATTATAACTTTAATCTCATCAATTGAACCTGACAAAGGATAGAACAGTTGATCAGTTTCGACCAAGAAAACGATTTTCCAATTTCAGGAGAAGAGAAGAAAAAACAATATTTTCATGATAAATATTATTTTCAAGAGTAAACTTTGAAAGAAATTGATTGATAAATGTCTTTACAGACTCTTGCCTGGTTAGTCTTTGAAGAAGGGTAAAAAAAGGTTAATTTTGCTATCGATAAATAAAGGTTAACAGTAAATTGATTTGATAAAAATAAACTGACCAAGGCTTCGTCGCCATTGATTATCAATTTGTCAAGCACAATTGCTGGACAAAAGACAGACAAGCTTTGAAAAACTCAAGTTCAATGAGCAAGAAGAGTTTCATTTTAAATAAAAATTGCTGCCAAAGAGTTTAAAATAGAAACTTGATAATAGTAATCGAACAAAATTAATCGGAGAAATTTCCTTTTCGTCACAGTTTTGCTAAGAAAATGACTTCAATTTGTTGTGAAACGAACGAAACTCGAAAGGGTTGGGATAGAAAATATAATAAAATCAGAAATTTCGCTTTTATCATTCATCTCTAGTGAGATGTAATTTCATGGTTTTTGAATCTCACGTTTGGTTATCTATTTGACTTTCATGGACACAAAGATCTGAAATTCAATTCATCTGTGGTTGAACAAGATTCAATCAGCGAAAAGATTTTACTTCTGATTTCATAGAAACAGTTAATATCGATAACTTTTTAAACTTTGATTTTGTAATTTTGATAAAATCGAATAAATGAGAACATTTAAACTCCATTTTGCATGAAAAGTTTATTTCGAAATCACATGGAATGAAACCTTTTAATGGTGAATTTCATTTCCATTTTTTCTGCGAATCAATTACATAATCTATAATCAATAATGAAATGTGAAATTTTTTAATAACTTTTTATTCTTTCTAAACTATTTTTTTATTTCCACTTTAGATAATATCTATAACATGGAATTCATCGTGAAAACTGAGAAATGGAAGCGAAATATTCTAGAAAAGTGTTAAACCCTCTTCAAAGTCATTTCTGGCGAAAAGCAATTCAAAAGTAAATTCGCTGCAAAATCTTCATTAAAATTGTATTTCGATTTTGCATTCTGTGAATTGCAACCACAAACTTTCATGAAATTGTTTCAATTTTGACAGATAAACAAGAAATTATAAAGCAAAGCAATTTGAAGTAATCAATAATTGAAACGAAACCATTAAACCTACCAAAAATGGTTGGAAATGTTTTGCAGTTTCAAAAATTCTCAACATTTTTGGTTCGCCTGTTGATTCACTTTGAGCAACAATTTCACCGCATATTCAACTTAATTATTTCGAGTAAATCATTAAAAATACAAATCTTAAATTGAT